GATGAACAACGAAGACAGGCTAGTATCACCATAGCGGAAGGGAGGCGCAAATGTGGCGCAATCAAACCTCGCCCTTTATCACGAGCCTGATTCCACTCATCTGACAAAAGGCAGAGTTTCTATGCCGTCGTTGACATGTGGGTCTGACTTTTCTTGAGGGTACCCCTTTTCGCTTGGTTTTGAAGGGACACCAAAACGGAACACCAGCATTTTTCGGTTCCCCGAAAAATACGGCACACCCATGTCTCCCCCAAACCCGGGGACGACCCCATTCGGAGCGACCTCGTCCCGCTTCCTGCCGCTTTCCAGCCGAAAACCGGCCTGCCGGCCGCGCAGGACTGGCACTCGCCGGGGGCGTAGGCGTGGCAACCAACGATGACCTGGCGCCGGCGTGTCGCTGGACGGCTCCGGCCGGGGTTTTGAGAGTTTGCGCATCTGGGGTAGTCCGTTTTCAGATCCACTACAAGTCGAGTTAACTCTTGGGTGACATTCCGAAACCCCCACCACTAAACCAACTAAAGTCGAGTTCACTTTTAGAGGGCTGAATTTCGGAAACCCAACCACTAAACCAACTGAAAAGCTAAAACGCTAAGGAACCGGATGGCTGTGAACCACCAAGGCATCTGTTGAATATCTCCAGCACCCGGGTCCATAGCAACCGCTGCTTTTTGGACACGGGGGACCTAAGTGCTAGCTGGAATGCCCTGGGCAAGACCCTCGCTTGACGGCTGTGCTCTTTGCTGTTTTCTGGCAAGGGGGGGGGGGAGGGGGGGGGGAACCACGCTTCCTGGGTGTGATGTTTTTTGGATCTGCGGGAAACAGACGGCTCACCGGGGGGCTAGGAGATAAATCCACTTTTGTTCCTAAGGTCCCTCAGATGTGTCACAGCCAGGGCCTCATGTGGTGTGAACAGTGTGAACGCTTGCAACGCCATGCCGCATTCGCATGCGGCCAAGATGTTGGGTTCTGACTAGGTTGTTCTTTCAGCTGCCACAAAACCCATCCCACACGGCCTCTCCGGGGTAGCAGGTGGCGCAGCAAGCCGCATAGAAGAGCTTGCCCTGGATGATGCCTGCCTCAGCCTGAGCGCTGCCAACTGCTGGCCGTGGCTCACGATCCTTCATTTGCCTAAGTTCCTTAAACAAAAACAAAGGTAGTGATAGATTCCCTGAACAGGGGAAAATAAACAAATACTCTTAAGCAGGTGGAACTGATCATTTTTTGATCTAAGTGCCCTCTGGACAGGTTCTCTTATCCCCCAACTGCCCCAAAACTAAAACCAGGGAGCTGGGTCAAGCTGCCTGTGCAGGACGTGCCTACAAACATTGGACAAAGTGCGTAATGGGCTGAATGAGAGAGAGGACATACTCCAAGCCAAAGCTGCAAATGTCCTGCCACCTTATGGTTTTATCCCCGGGGGTAGCTGTACATGCTCAGCCTGTGTGCCCTGTGGATAGGACAGAACTGTGTCACGGCGGGCACAGCCTGATGCAAAATGGGATTCAGGCAAGTAGCCATCGAGCGCGACAACACCCCCAAAAAGGTGACAAACAATCCTCTATTTGCTTAAGTCTCTTGGGGAAAAAATCCAGTAGTGACAGGTTCTCTTTAAAACCAACAAGGGGAAAAATAAAAAACTTAAGCAAATGGAAGCAATGGACAATGGCTGCCGGGGATGGCTGCAAGAGCATCTGACTGATGGCGGCTCCAAGGGTCGATCCCGCCAATCCAAGTCCCGCCTCGAATCCGCGGAGGTAGCCGTTGATGTTCCGCTGCTGCCGGCAGCACTGGAGCCTGAAGCTTCCCCCCAGCACCTTGACATCCCGAAGCCTTGCCCCTCGCCCCAAACGGGTCAGCCGGGTTTCCCCAAAAAGAAACACCCTGTAAGGAAATAACACACATTCCAGGCTCGGGAGTTGACAAACAAGCACCCCGTGCCTCCCATGAAACACTAAAACAACACTTTGGCGTCGCCAATCCAAATCTCCTGACACTTGAATCGGCCAACAAGGAGTTTGTATTCCCTCGTCAAGGGTTGCCGCCCGCCCGGCCAACCAATTTAGATACCCGATTCGCGTAGCTTGTATTGAAAGGTTGCCTTCGGCCCGACTTAAACATCCGGGGATGTTACTTACAACTTCCTGTCGTTCCCCCCAGCCGAGGATCGGCCAATCGGCCAAGCCTGCGAGACGCGCTCAAGCATGCCTTTTGCGCGCTTGCCACACCTGTGCAACCGGGACCAGCATGGGTTCCCATTTTAAAAACCCACGGCGGGCACGCGGCAGCGCCCGCTACCTCCCAGCCCCGAAGCCCTGAAGCCCTGAAGCCCCCCCGCCTGTAAAACGGTGGCAACAGTCAACACTACTGAAGTACTCGACCAAGACTCAAGTATGAGGCTAAACCAATACGAAGGCAGCACTACACCAACACTATGCAATGCCCAAGCACCAGCCCTCCCACACCAAGCAATAAACGAATTTATGAACCAATACTAAGCCAGTTGTAAACCAAAACTGAAACTGTGCTGGCCAGCACAAAGAAATGGCAAGCCGGGTCTGGCCAGTTCCGAGTTGTACTGGGCAAGCTCAAACAAATGCTACGCCAAGACGGCAGCGTGCAACTCATTGCTGCTTCTGTGAGCAGAGATGCAGTCGGCAGCCCCATCCCAGCTTTCTTGCCAGGACCCGCATGGCGTGTTACGCAAATAGCATTGTGCGCATTCAAGCAAATTTGTCTTGGTGAGCCACATTCGAGAAACAGATCTTTGTTCAGTTCCGAGCGCATGGCGAAAAAGGCATGCGGGGAAGCTGCGGCGACTCTGGCTGGGCATCGGAACCACACTTGGTCAACTCACCTACTTCAACTCTGTCTTGGGGGTCCTGAAAAACAGGATTCTCTACCGGACTCTACCAGTTCCCAGCAGGCCACGGCCGCTGTAGAAAGGAAAACCTTTCAGCCTTCTGTGGTCGGAACGCTCTCAGTCCGTTTCAACATCCATAGAGATGGGTTGACGCGTCCTGTGTCCCTGAATATTGCCGTACATAGGTAGCTTGCATCCAAGAAAATGCCATCAGAACCATCCACGGACCGCATATCCCTCGAACAGCCGGACCCCACCCGCTGAGCCGCTGGCTCCCGCCAGTCCGGGAACACGTTGTCGCTATAGCAGGGCTGGTTCCTGAGACTTCCGCGTCAGGAACCCGACGCGGCCTATGGAACACCACACAGGCGGCACACAGGAGAACAGTTGCTTCCCACTCATCCCGATTCCCCCCTCATCCAACTTGAATCTCCTTCCCGAGCACTGTGAGTAAACTGAGCCATGGACGCGGGGGAGGTTTACTCAACCCATTCTGGAATGGGCATCCCTTGTAGGATACAAGTGAAAGCTCCCTTTCTGGACCAGGTCCAACTTCACGCAGATTGAACAGGGGATTGGTCTACGGGGAAGCCGGTTGATCTTGGACAAGACCAGCTCGTCATGGGGTCATACCAGAGAACACACGAAGTCCAAGGACCAACCCTCCCTCCAGAAACCCACGGTGCTGACACACGGCATGCTTGTGGAATATATATATATATATAACCTTGCTATGATATCAAAGTGGGCCATTTTCACAAAGCTCTTCACTGTGTCGTGGGACAGCAAAAAGTGGCCCTAAAACCTCATCTTCCACAAAGCGGCCTCTGCCTCTAGTCAGACTCCGGCCCTCGCTAGCAATTCAACATGCGCGGGTTGCCAAAGATAGAACGCCTGGTGAGGAACCTGACGACCGTTGATACAATCTTTACAAGCACAAAGGACGGCCTCAGCAAGCGATTGCAAAGAACACTTCAAGGAACGTGTGAAATTTCAAATAATCCCAAAATCTGAAATACTAAAACGACAAACTCCGAAGGGCCCACGTTTGCGGGATGACTAGTCACGCGATTTGGCATACCTGCCCATTAAGTGAGGAGGTAGTGCCTCCTACAAAGGCGGCCGCACCCAATTCCGGTTGGGACTGTCCCTTACTCATCTGCACTTCCCCGGATTTTGACTATGGCTCACATGAAAACATCTGCGGGCTGCGGGTCCGGGTGGTCAGCCAAACGGGGTCACTCTAAGTAGCCGGCGAGACGGCGTAGTAGCCAGGGTCACACTGACCCGCGTGCACGCAGCCCGTGGTGTAGCCTCGGCCATTTCGTTGCTTCCCTTGCTGGGAGCTGTGCAGCAAGGATGGCAGCAAAGGCACCCTGAGTTGCTTGAATTTGCTGGACCACCAACTGTTCTGGCACCTCGCTCAAGTGGCTGGACTTGAGGGGGAGCCCTTTCAAGGCATCACGAACTCACCCAGGGTCCTGTCGTCGCCCGAACGATTGACTTACCTGGGGGTATCTCACACACCTGACAACCCCCGCGTTTGGGTTGCTTTTTCAAGATTGTGAAGGGAGGCTAAATGGAATCACCATTCACAAAGATGCCGGAATGTCAGACTTGGCCCAACTTTGAAACATACCATTCTAGAGATTGCAAATACGGAAAATCACAAATACGACGGTCGACCATGAACATGGTTCAACCTGAGCGGCTTTTCCCCTAGTACGCCATCCCCACTATCCCCCCACGGACCATCTTTGACTCGCTGACGCATCTGTCAGATGGGCAACGCAGCAGTCAGGATTATTTTTTTTGCCCTGGGCGCTCTTCACCCGGCCAGTTCATCGCCCTGTCGATCCGGATTTCGTTTCCGGAGCACTGGGGCTGTGATGTAGCACCGGGGCCCCATGTAGCACCGGGGCCCCGTGTAGCACCGGGGTCCCATGTAGCTTCCGTGTAGCTTCCCATCAGAAACTGACCTTCAACATCGGCATGCATGGACCCCAATGAAACACACCGAAACTGGTGCTCGGTGCAACAAGAAACCGGTAGTCTTTCAGATCAATTGCCTAGCCTCGTCGGCTTGGAACTCACCGGCTCCGTGAAACCCAAACGGTCGTACTCGCAAGGTGCGGCCGGCTTAGCCGAAGAGGCCACCCATCCTCGCAATCACATGGCTGTGGGTCAAAAATAGGTACCCTGACAGGAGCCCTGGTAATGGAACCAAGGACTAAAACCTGCGGTTTTCTGGTGGTTTAATTTTGACCCATACCCACATGGTCGGTTCTTTCGCCACAAAGGGAGCCTTTTGCTGGTTTTTTGCGCTTGGGCCCAAAACGCTTGTTGCCTCCAGTCCAAGCATCATACATGCACCGTGTTTGCCATATGGCTGTGGGTCAATACTCATTACCCCCAGTGAACATCCCAATCCCCACTAAAATAGGTTCTAAAATGGAGGTGCACCTACCAACCAAAATGGGATCCCATTGGTTTTGACCACCCCAGCCATATCTGAAAAAGCGAAAACTGTTTTTACAGCTTGTGCCAAAGGAAAGCGTTGCGCATCAAACATAGCTCGCCTCCTGGCCTGACATTGTAGCAATCTGGGCCTTCGATCCCCTTCGATCCCAAAGTCCTTTCAAACCGTTTTCCACCGTGGTTTGGTGAGGAAACTACCACCAAACCAACTAAAAACCAACTAAAAACCTTTCTGGGACCTACCACTAAACTAACTCAAAAACCCAAAACCTCAAAACCCCACCAACTCAACAGCTCTTCAAAAAACCGGGAAAGAAAACAAAAAAACAACACATAAAACAAATCCTCACCAAAAAAAAGCACAGACCGGCGATGGGCCGACGATGGCGGTTCAGCCCAGGCGTCTTCTGCTGCGGGGCGGCCGAGAGGAAGCCCTCCCGGATTTGGCTCTCGAGGTCCTTGATGGCCGAGGGCCCGTGGGGCACGATGATGGACCCGTGGCTCCCGGAGAACCTCGGAGGATCGGTTTTTCGGTTTTTCGGTTTTTCGGTGCTCGCGCCGAACCAAACTGGACTTCAGGTTAGGAAGGTGTTTCGTTACTTCGAGTCCGTTAAATTCATGTGAAGTTGTTGGTTGGCTTCCCTTGTTGGTTGGTCTAGCAGGGAAGCCCAAAGAAAACCACGCCCCTCAAGAACGACACATTCCCACATGAGCCACTTGCTCAAAACGGATTTGGGTAGATGAAGGCTAGTAAGGGACCATCCCCTTGCCAAAAATGGCTGCGGAGATCCGGCGTCTTATTTCTACGACCCTTTTTAATACAGGGTTTTGATTATGACACACACACACACACATTTCGCTCCTCACACATTCCTAACCTCAGGGGGGTTGGGGGGGGAGGGAGGAGGGGGGGGAGGGAGCCCAAATAAGCTCTTATTAAGCCCTTATGCCCTTATTTAGGGCGTATTTGGGCTCCCTTTTTTCTTATTTTCTCCTTCCCGGCTTCTATGATAACCACACATTTCGCCCCCCGAAATGGTGGACATCATTTCGGTGAGAGTTCATGTCCACCGGCCTTTGAGGTGGTTCCCTATGAAGATTCACGGCGTGGATCTGTCGTTTTTGAGGGGCGCCCCAACATGGTGGCTTTCCTTTGTGGGCTTCCCTTCGAAACCACCCAAAAAAGGGGTACCATCAAAGCCTTTAACAAAAACCAGTATGAAACAGTCAACATGCATGACCCAAAGCCATGTAGAGATCAAGAGGGCGGCCGCACCTACATACGGTTGGGGTTGTCTCCTAGTCGCCTTTAAACTATCCGGGTTCTGATTGTGGCTCATAATGTGCCCTAATGGCAAACGAGCAACTCGGGTTCGTGTGGCTGGCCCTTGGCATGTGCCTGTGCGCTTGCAGATGCGTCCGTGCGCGTGCACGTGCGTCTCCATGTGTCGCTGTGCCTCTGCGTCTCTCTCCTTCGGGAGTTGAAGTGTGTGTGTGTGTGTGTGTGTGACTTGTGTGCGTGCGTGTGTGTGCGTGTGCGCGTGTCTGTCTGCGTGTCTGCGTGCGTATCCCTGTGATGTGTGTCTGTGGTTGTCTTTGTCTTTGTGCTTGTGTGGGCAGCTGGGCGGGCGTGCGAGCCGGTGGCCAGCCGAGGGGTGGATGGGTAGGTCAAGCCTTCAGGGATATGCACTTTGTGCAATGTGCAGACTTCGGCAGCGTAGGCGTTTGGCTTACTCCTCAAATTATTCCGCTGCCCTTTGTCAACTGGATACACGCCCGTTCCGTTGGCGATAATGTGCTTGATAAGATAGGCGGACACTGGTTCATGGGACCGTTTTACTCGCTCGGCGAGACATGCTACAGCAGTCTATATCTCACACTGTTGAGTTCCCTGCAAAACCAATACAATACTACTTCAGTTTTATTGATGAGCATTTCCTAAGGAACCAGACTGATTCCCAGACATCTTTCAACGTTCAACAGCTCGCAAAGACCATAATCTGTAACTGACAGGTAGCACAGATGGTATGCCAGTACATGGATGGCCTTCCGATTTGTTTTGCTCCCGCGGCTTTCGCGTTTTGTCACGGTCACTGTTCTAGTGGCACCCTCCCCATTCTCTTCAGGGATCCTTCTCTTCAAATAACGGGCCAAACACCTGGGAAAACATGAAGAGAAAGGGGAATTAAGCCTTAGAACTGTTCCAAGTTGGCTGCTCTCGGATCCCCCGCTAAAAGTTCAACTTTTAATAGGTCAAATGGATACAACCACTAAACACTTAAAGGCTAAGAAGCTAAGGGGATGGCTGGGAGCCACCAGGTCACTGTGCCAAATTCAAAACAAGGCTCTCTTTCAATGTATCCAGGTACTGCGTCATGATCATCATGTGCATCGCTTCATGCTCCGACATCCCGGACTCCTGACAGCGTTCGGGTTTACTCCCCAACTAAACCAACTAAAAACAACTAAAAGCCTCTGGAACCCCGGATGGCTGGGAGCCTTCAAGCATTTCATGAGGTAGCTTTTCTCTCTCTATCTCTTTCAACATCTTGTACCAGTTGGCAGAAGCTGGTCTCCAACCAACTTAAAACCGGTGGCTTGCCCATCTGTTTCTAACCAAGCTAACCGATCAAAAGGACACTTATGGTACTGGCTGAGATGGAAACTCAACCACCAAACCCCAACACAAATCGCTGGGAACTCAAACAACGCCTTGGGTGGGATAAGTGGACACCCAACCATTTTTTTTCCGCGGCTGGGAACCACGGATGGCTGGGAACCAGGTAGGTTGCTTTCACTGGCGCCTTCATGAACCTCATGGAGTCTTGGAAGCCCTGCGCCATGGCCGCCCGCATGTTGGCCATGCCCACGCCGGCCAGGCGCTTGGCTTCCGCATCTGCCTAAATCTCGTTGAGGCTCGGGGGTGCACCGAGTTTTTGGTTGGTTCGAAGGCCGGCCAAGGAAAAAACACAGAAGTCGCAAAGGGATTCCCCCAAATCGAAAGTTTATCGATTTACCCGTGGCTTCCGTTGAAACAATCGGTGTCCACTTTCTGAGGTAACCCACAAAGGGATTTGGCTCGGATACCTTTTTTAGTTTCTTTGTTTTGGCACAGAATCAAAAGGATCAGGCAACCGCTAATTGGTGGCTTGGATTGGTGGCTTGGCTTTGCATTTGAACCCCTGGTTCCAGAATGCTCCAGAGGGGAAATGGGGTTTCCCCTTCCGTTTCACCACGAAACCACCGATTCGGCTCCAAACCACCCTTTTCGCGGGAAGCTGAAAGAATGTGAAATTCAAGTTTGAGCATGTCCGAGCCGCACTGTGAGCAGCCACCCAACCTCCTAGAAGAACTTCTGTCTGGAACCGCGACACAATCCAATTGGCGAAGTTCCCACAGCTGATGGAAACTAGTTGGAACTCACTTCCTCCAAAGAACATCTGAACATTTTGTTTACCACTAAAGAGGTCTCAAGAAGCTTGCAGTCCGCGAACTCAAGTGAGGGAAGGACAAAGACAGCAAGAGGCGCAGCGGAAGAGCGTTTGGTGTTTGTTTGGGTAACGTGGAACCCGCTGAAAAAAAATTGGCGCCCGTCCCAAGTTGAAGCAAAGCACGTGACAACTGGGCATCTTGCCGGCTTCAGATGTGGCCAACCGTTTCCCTGCAGCGAGAGGCTGAACTTCGAGCTGATGCAACCAAGCCAAATTCACCACCTATCAAAAAGCGGGGCCCAGGAAGGGAATAGGAAAGCCGGGTCCCAGTTTGCGGTGTTCAATGGACGCGGGTTTCGTCAAGCTCTGCCAAGCCATTGGTGGATGTTTCCGAGAATAAAAAAGGGAATCCTCCAGTTTGGGGCTGCCCAAAAAGCCAGGTCCACGGCTTGTGTTCCGCCCTGTGTCAAATGGCCATAGCCTCAGTGGTAATAATCCATACTTTGTGATCACATCCAAGCTGTGCCAAGATGCCTCAGACGCCTTGATCTTCAGCATCTTCTCTGCCTCACCTCTCTCAAAGGCCGCCTCGCGTTGGCGCCGGGACGCGTTGATCTCGTTCATGGCGTCCATCACCTCGGCTTCTCTCCGGAAAAAAAACCGAGCAGCGCTGGTTCTACCAAGAGAGGCCCAAAGAGAACGATATGGGTTTATCATAATAGGGGAACCCACATAATGCGTGGAGCCCCTTGCCCGCAAAAACAAACACACCCACATCATGCTCTGCCGTCTGTTGAACAAGCTTGCTTCCACATTAGGGTGCCGGATTTAGAAAGTAAGCGTGATGGAGTTGTAGTTGATCTGTGCAATCCCTTTCTTCCTAAACCAAGCAGGATACTCAAACAAAAACGGGTCTGGCAACATGCGTCCACCAGCATTGCACGATTGGCTAGTGTTCCTCAGTCGAGGCCCCTTACGGCGCTACGGAGCTACGTTGCAGCGATCACAAATGGGCGAAGTTGTTTTAAAAAAAGAGGGGCGGAAAAAAACAGCATAAGTTCGTGACAAGGGTGCTCCGAATTGCTCCGAGCACGAATGGCGTGCACCCATGGTCACCTGGTCATTGCCACGTGGCTGCAAAGACTTCAACTGGAGGGCGCCTTCGTTTGGGGCTCTCGTTTCATCTCGAGTCACGGAGCGCTCGGGCTTCACGTCGGTGATCAGCACGTTCAGGATGTCGTAGCCGTATTTCCCCATGGCGCCCCGCACAGACTCAAGGATGTCCCCCACCATCTTCCTTGGCGATCGACGAGCCGATCTCACGCCAGCCGATGGAAGAACTAAGATCAGTTTGCACACAAGGGGGAGTCAGCAATTGTCCCATGCGTGTTTCATGCAGCATGTTTCATCTTAGTATGTTCACACGCATGCATTGGACATTGTAATTCTGCATAAACGCCATCGTCTGTCAATTGTTATCCTAAACTTTGCTCGTGAGATGTAACACAGTATATATATATATATATTATACATGTATATATTTATGTATACGCAGACATAGACTCTGATAATATCACCACAACGGCAAGCACAGCAACAAGCAGCGCTTGGCTTCAGCATATAACAAGCAAGAAGCACAAGGATGCTGAAGGGTTTGCCCCAAGCCCACTTAAGTGGTGTGCCGCTTCATCCCCAATCAACGCCAAGCTTTCTAGCACCCTTAGGACTTGACGTTCAGGCATGTCCTGCCGCCAACAAAGAGAAAAGAAGCGCCTTCCTGATCAGTTGAAGTGCTCATCTCGTGTCTTCGAGCCTTGACAAGGTCCACTTAGAATTTCTTCAGCCCCTATCCATCACAAGCTCCAACCGTGTGTCAAACCGGTTTCGCAACTGGGCTGTCTGGGCGAAATGGAAATCCAACCAGTAAACCAACTAAAAGCTAAGAAGCTAAGGGACCGGATGGCCACCATTTCTTGGTTGCTCCAGCCTCCGGCAGGGGTCCCCGAATCCGAAAAACAAAGCCCGCAACAAGATGAGCTCGAAACGAACAGCGAAACTCTCCGTAAAACATGAGGTGACCATTCGTGAAACCACCGAAAAAGATGACGAAATCACCACATGGAAAAAGTTTCCGCATGGTCATTTCAGGGACATAAAATATTGATCAGCCCCCACATGTCCTTTATGAAGCGCCACATCGGGTGCAGGAGGGGCAAACTTCGGGTCTTAGCTCTGGATTGTGGTGTGTGCCAAGGTTGACTCGACATGGCAAAACAACCTATTGCTCCACATGCCATTAGTCGGAACCTCTCCAGAAGATAATGTTCCTCTTTAGAGCAAGCCGTGCTCCCGTGCTCCACGCGCATGGGCTGGCCTCGTATCAAATTGCGACTCTTTAAAACACCCGTTTTGGCGGTAATTCATTTCAATTCCAGCAGCTCCACCCATGTCTGACTTTGATACCCGCTGTTTCCAGTGTTGCCAGTGTTTTTGAAGCACTAAACAAAATTGATTCCATGATTCAGTCAACAAACAGGCCCAGTTCCTGCAGGAGCCGCCCATCTGTGCTTTTGCAAAAACTTGGTCTTCTTGAAAAACCGTTCATTCTTAAGCCCTGTTGCGGTGTAAACCCACAAGCCCCTCCCCCCTCCCACCCCCGGGCAAAAGCCCATAAAGGTGCAACGTTAGAGTCTCACGCTCAACACCACCCCCCTCCCCCCCGCCCCCCCCACCCCCAGCAGCCTCATGTCTTTCGTTCCTTTCTCTCTGCCGGGCTTCTCCTTGGCCTCGTAGCTCTCGTCCAGGGTCATGCCAGGCAGGGTGGAGCGCAGCACGCTGTCCACCTGATCCATTTGTGGCATCTCAAGGCCATAAAACGGGGTGAAGGCACGTCTGTTTAGCCAAACGGCGATTCCTCAGGGCGCAGGTGGGCCATTTGGTTCAGGGAACAGAAAAAACGTCAAGTGCAGATTGACACAAACGCCCGGTATTGCGCACCTAAACTCAACCACAGCCCAAACCATCCCTAGATTACTAAATCCATCCAAAACCAGCCCCAAAAACAGTAAGCAAACCCGATGCAAGCACCCCCAGCCCACATCTTTCAGGTTGCCTTTGCCTTGCCTGGCCTTGCTTGCCTTGCTTGCCTTGCTTGCCTTGCCTGCTTGCCTGCTTGCCTGCTTGCCTGCCTGCTTGCTTGGCCAACCTTGCCTTTGCCAGTTTCCATCAAGCTTAAATCATACCATCATACCTCGCCAAGCAGAGGCTATCATTGCCTGTTGCCTCGTTGGCCATGCAAGTGTCCCCAGCGCACCTCTGCCTTGATCTGCTCGGTTGGGCTGGCCACATCGAAAACGGCCACCTTCACCATGTCCTTCTGGATGCGGTACTGCACCGCGGTCACAACCTCAAGCATCAAAAAGTGCGCACATGCGCGCACAAGCCGGCGCTTGCAAGCAGCTTCTCAGTAAGGAAGGCTTGCTTGGCCTAGTCGGCCTGCTGGGCCCCCGCAGCCTGCTCTGCTTGGTTAGTCGGCACAGCAGATTTTCCTATGACTGTTTTGCGGGAATCAGAAAGCAAACATCGGGATTGAGACTGGGACGCAAAAGCGAGAGAAGCGGAGAGAGAAATGCGAGGAGTGCGGGAGGAAATGCGAGAAGAGCGACGAGAAGAGGTTCAACCAGTTGAATCGGGCGAAGCATGGAAACAAGCGAAGGGAAATCAACACACAACAAAAGAGGAGCAGTGCGGAATGCAGAGAGCAGCAAGGATCACGTTCCGTGATTGGAACATTTGTGGGGGATTGGTTCGCGGGGGGTGGGGGTGGAAGAGGGGTTTCCTGCAAGTAAAAGTCTTGTTTGTTCATGCAATCCGGTCCCCCTATAACTATGTTTAGGGGGACCTGTATTGTTTTCCGAGTAGACTTGGGGTTGGCGAGCAAAGATTCAAAGTCTTACTATGTCTTCTGAATTATCAATGTGTCTTATTCATTCTTAATATGTCTTGATATGAACTTTGCACCTCTTAATCAGATTCCTTGGCTTAATAAGCTTTGTTTGTCAAAACATCAGCACACGCTGAGACATGTTATTGTCCTAATTGGCACAAGTTTGTCTTCGACGCTGGTTGAGCTTCACCTGAGCTTGACTCCGGAGCTTGGCCGAAAGGCTGACCTCCCTATCTTGCCTTGGTGCAAGCTTGGACTTCCTTTGCTCCTTAGAGCCAGAAGCTGAAGCTTCGAGAACTCGGGAGAGCACAAGCATAGGTGTCCTTGTGGGGAAAATAGACGGATCTCCCTCAACTTGGTGCCGTCTTTTCCCCTTCCCAACCCCCCGGAACACTTCCCCCGCCCCCCCCCCCCCTCCCAAACAAAGCGGTTCCACCATAGCCTATGAGCACAAGTTGAACCTTCCGTGACGAGTGAGTTCTCGGGCCGAGTGGCTGTGACGGTGACGTTGTCTTTGGTCTTGCAATCCGAGTAGCAGCTCACTTGCTGAACTGCCAGCGAGACTGACTGCACAGAGGTCACGCAACAGTTCATGCACATGCATCCTGGATCTTGCAGGCCCTGGTACTCCCCGAACTTCTGGATGACGCCCACAGAGCCAGTTTCGATGCAAGAAAAACACATCGCGTCCTTAGCTTGGCTTTGAGAAGGGCCACAAGCAGCCACAAGCAAAAATCGCTGCAGATGTAGTGCCTGTCAATTGATTTTTAACGCTAAGTCTACAGCACTCAAGAAACAAAAACGCCTGGTCACCATCTTGTCACAAAAACGCTGAGCTCCACAAAAACCTGCCAAAGGCTGCAAGGCTGCAAGCTTCCTGGGGTCGGTCGCAATCGGAGGGCAGAACTCAGAGCTCTGTGTCTCGAGAGGAAATGGCAACGGAGGGCATTTGAGGCCCCTTCAATCGACTCGGAGTGCGAGTGCAAGCAGGCCGCTGTTTTCATGGGAGTGAAAGCAAAGCGCTTTGAAGGCAGTCTAAAATTATGCAGTTTCCCAACTCCCGCTTTGTCAGCAACAACTTTGGCATCCCTTACATGTCGCCTCAAAAACTGGTTCGCCGGCCTCAACACGTGAGAGGCGCCGCAGTGTCTTGATCCACAAGCACGCACCAAAGAAATGAAACCATTCATCCAACCGACCAGTAAAAACAAAAAGCAAAACCGCGCACTGCTGCGACCAGGATCTCTAGGGCACTCTCTCCTCTCTCTCCCCACCAACTGCCAAACTCCGCAATTCGGCCAATTCTTTTCTCGGGCTGCCCGGCAACTGCCCTCGGAGGTCTGATCCAGATCGTTGACCCGGAAGTGCGCCGTTTCGCCTGGCGGACGATGCGACGATGCTCGGCCACGCGGCGAGGGCCACGAGTCTCCCGCACCGGCGCACCGCCTCACCAACTGCTGAGACGATGTCTTAACTTCTGCGTGGAGATGCTGTTGAACACAGGTGGGGAAATACCCCTCATGGTCGAAAACGACCCAAGCACCAGAAATGCGTGGGGGCCAACAAGCCGGAAAAAGCAACCCAGACTCATCCAGAATCGGAGGTGCTTGAGAAAAAGGCTGCCCGAGCTCCATGTCGAAGAACATGTTTTGGTTTACACCCCTCTACTTGGTGCCGTCTTCTTTTGGTT